ATTGTTACGCGTGTATGTTTTACTTATTGAATGTGATTTCGCATGTATACTTTCGAAAGTATCTAATAAAATTTTGAGAGGATTTTATAATTTATTTTCTTATAATATTATATAGAATATCGCATTTCACGAACGGTTAAAATATTTACTTGAAAACTAATGAAAACGCTGCATAAATATATATCAATAGCAATAATAATAATAATAAAATACACGATCCGCTGAAATGATCCGAAACTATCGGTTACTTACTAAATGTTTGTGGACAATATTATTATTAATAATAATGCACTCAAAAATAACATCGTTAGACCGACGGTTCTCGGATACTTTGATTCGACTGTTATAAAATCACGTATATTAATAATAATTTTATTAGCAGCGTGACTCGTGCTACGTTAAACTCAGTGGATGTTTTAACTAAAATACTGGGCGACATTAATGTCGCACAGTGGAAACTTTTTGTCGCCTAGCTGATGATATATTTAATTACTGAGCGACAAACATTTTTAGCTACAATGGCGTACGCTGATATACAAATTTGTACACTATTTAAATTAATAATTTATTGTTCTGATGCAATGGTCAATTTTTTGAGTGAGAATCTCAGGGTAAAGGGTTCAAATTCCATAGGTATGCACAATTTGTATACTTTTTTTTTATGAAAATATTTTTCGATGGATTTTTTTGTGTTAAAGATAAGAAATTTTCTTCTGTACCTACTTGACGTGGTTTTATACTCGTATAACAAATCAAGGTACCGTAACACAAAAAAAAAATTATCCGGCTAATAATTTAAACATTGCCAACTATATTTTAGAACGATAAAATAATCACCGAAATAACCAATATAAAACCAAATAACAGTACGTGTTTGACAACTGGCTGGACCAGACGAACATTCTGTATATAGTCTGTTTCAGGAGAGAACGGGCTGCTCTCTGACCAAATCGAATCGCTACTGCGCATCCCTACGCCGCAACACTATCCATTTATCCCCTCCCGGATCTATCGCCAGAGCTGCAACGGCGACCGCAGAAGTGGTGCAGGTGTTGTACACTGCGTTTCAAATAATGCACTGTTGACTGTCGATAGTCCACTGTTTATCGCCAATTGCCATGGTGTACGCACACGTCATTTTTACATGTTTTACTTTTTTGTACAGTTTGGTAATTTTTACTTTTTCTCCGTTTTTTTAATTATTTTAAAATGAATGACGGCGAGTNCAAAAAAACAAAGTCTGGATTATTATAGAAGGTGCTTGTATATACGATAGTTTACGATTTGAAAAATCATCAACAGGTTATAAAACAGCAAAGGTAAAAAAACGTGCGATGCGCGATGTCTGATAATAATAACAATCGAATTTCTACAAAATATCTTAGCGGTGTATAGTCAAAAACTGACGACGGAAGAAATGACAATCGGCTGCCTTCACTGAAATTAAGTTATGTGGAGGGGTAAACATGCGCACAAGCGACCCGTTCTCTCCTGAGACAGACTATAGCTTTATCGCATGTAAGTTTATAAATTACCGATAGCGCTGCTTATCTGCTAGCCAACAGCACAGGTAATTATAATGACATTTCACAATATTAAATAATAATATTATAATCATAATAATAAACTAATAAACCTCTCGCGTAAACATTCTAAAACGCAAATATGGACGGCAAATCCATAAAATCACCAAATTCTCTAACAAAAGCCTTCATGTCTAAACCCCTGGTATCTAGACCCAACCCCACAGGAGCAAAAGAACGGTACCATGGTGGAACGAAGATTGAAAAACCGCGATCGCAAAATACAAAAAAGCCCTCAAAAAAACCAATCTATAAACTGACCATATCCTAGTAAAAAAATACAAAGCTGAATCTAAATACATCACTAAAAAAGCAAACTCGAATGCTGGCAAAAATATACATCTACAATTAATACCAGAACACACCCATCAGCAGTCTGGAATAAAATTCGAGCTCTCAAAGGATGTAAACACTAGCCACTACCTAACCACATGCACTATAACCAAACCCAACTACACTCAACACCTGAAATTGTCCACGCCTTTGCTAAGTTATTTCAATCAAACAACAGTAATGCTAATAATGATGATAATTTTTTAATATTCAAAAATGAATCTGAAAAAACTTCCTATCAACCGCTATCCACTACCTGATAAAGCAGAATACAATCTCCCATTCGATATAAATAAACTCTATCTCGCACTACACAACTGTAACAGCAAAAGTCCTGGACCCGATAATATCCCCTTCTCCTTCTTGAAGAACTTATCTGACAACACCATTAACACTCTCTTTGCAATATACAACCTTATCTGGAACAAAGGAATTTCCCCTAGCCAATGGAGACTCGCACTCGTAATCCCTAAATTAAAATCAGATAAAAATAAATTCAATGATCTTAGCTACCGTCCTATTTCACTTATTAACATCCTTAGCAAAGTACTTGAAAAAATGATAAATAAACGCTTAGTTTGATTTCTCAAAATAAACAAAAAATTCACAAAACAACAATCTAGCTTCCGCAAAAAATCATTCAACTCAAGATGTCTTAGCTACACTCCACACAGATATAACCGAATCAATAATAAGCAAACAACATCTAATCTCAATTTCCATTAACATTGAAAAGGCCTATGATATGGTATAGCAAAAAAATGTACTTATCCTCTGTCTATATTCTTTAAAAAACTCCAGTATCTTCTCCTATATTCTCAAACTAGCATCTGTGACCCCTATCAAAAAATTTGGCTGTTGTTCTAACGTCAAAAATTATCGACCTATAACCATTCTTCTCCATTTATCAAAAATGTTTGCATCATTAGTACAGAATTCCATACGTTCTTCCCTTAATCACATTATCTCTAATGATCAACTTGTATTCCGTACGGGTTACTCTACAACTACATGTAATCTCTTACTCACTTCCTTCATATGCAACCTCTTTGCTGCCCGGAGCCAGATAGAGGTTATCTAAATAATTTTTTTTAAGGCTTTCGAGTTGACCACTCGCTACTTGTCAAAACTTTGGATCAACTTGATACCTATGAACCACTTCTTTGCTGGATCCGGTCTTACCTTACAAACTATCCTGTTTATGTCAAAATCCAAACTTTGTTATCCAGTGCCTTTCACTCTATTTCTGGTATCCCTCAAAAAGCGGTTCTCTCTCATCTCCTCTTTTCCCTCTTCATAAATTCCGCCTCTACCGTACTCAAGCACGCTAAATTACTAATTTTTGCCAATGACATGAAGCTCTATTTACGAATTTCTTTCCACTCTGACTGTCACTTATTGCAGTCTGATTTTAATCAATTGGTTTCTTGAGGCAAATCCCTTGGTCTCCATTTAAATATCTCGAAATGCTCAGTCATATCTATTTCCCGCATTCATACTCCCTTTCAATTTAACTACCATATAACTAACTTCTCAATAATATCTTCCGGAGCCTCTGTTTATGATCTTGGTTTTACTTTAACACCTACTCTCTATCCTCTCAAGCATATAGAAGTCACTTGCTGCAAAGCCCAAAAAATCCTAGGGTTCATTAACCGAACTTCTCAACAATTCCATCTTCTCTCCCCACTTAAAACTCTTTTTTGCTCTTTTGTTCACCCTATCCTTAAATACGGCTCTGTCCTCTGGGACCCGTCCACGTTTTGTGACAAATTCGCTGTCAAGCATGTTCAACGCAAATTCCTCCATTTAGTCTCCATCCGTTTCAAAATCCCCCATCTACCTCATTATTACTCCTCCATTCTCCATTTACAACTACTATAATATTAGTATGTTTTATACCTATCTTTCAAAAAAACACCCTTGTATTTTATTGTATTGCTCCCATAACACTTTTTTAAACCACGCATTCTACATTATAAGTTTAAATGCTCCATTACCGTGAGAAATCATTCAAATTCCAATATTTGTAAACATTATTTAAAAAGAAGAGGACTTACAATTTTACATGGAATTGCAAGCCCTTTTTTTAGAAACCATGTCCTACTCCCCTTTAGTTAGCATGTATAAATATATTTGAATTATAATTTTGAAATGGCTTTTTGCAACTAATTAGCCTTGCCAATCGCAGACACTTATTTAATATTCTATTTATCTCTAATCTCATAGAAATGAGAATCTATCTGGCCAAAGATAGCCAAAGGGCCAGATAGATTCTGGCCTTCTCTGTCTTTCATAATTCCACTATCTTCTTCTAATAATTCTCTCAACTCGCCTATTTCTCGCCTTATGCACGCTGCCAACTCGGATCCCTCATTCAATTTTTAACCTACATCACTTGTACTTTTGGGCTTGTCCTGTAATTAATATAATAAATATAAGTGGTAAAAAAAAAAAAAAGTAACAGAAATCAAATTAAATACCAAAATTTAGGTTGTTAATCCAGTCTATTACATCAGCGGTTGCCTTGCATAAGTCTTCGTTAGTCCCGAAGTAGGTTTTGAATGGGCAATCATTGACAGTATATGGTACGATTTCAGTTATCGGCTCTGCAGTCACATTTAGGGTCTGGTCTAGTACCTCACTCATAAAGGACAGATCCACATCTACAATGTTCTGTCGTAATTCAGTTAAGGAGAACCAATGTCCTTGGGGATTAAATCTATCCGGTCATCTTTGGAGATCAAGTAATGGGTGCCAAATAGCAAGAGTCTGTTTTTTCCAAACGTTCTTCCATGTATCTAGTCTATTATAGTTACGCTCTAGAAGATCCTTTACTGTTACTCACGGGGGATTTCTTGATTTGAGTCTGCAGGAGTCAATGAGTTTCCGATGTATGGCGAGACCCAAATTGTATGAAACTTTAGTGTATTCATGGAGTAAAATTTAAAAAAGTTTTTCCTTGAATTAGAGGGTTTTATATGACTCAGAACTGGTAGCTATATGAATGGAGTGCTTTTAATGTAGCCGTAAATCATTTATATTCACTGATTAAGAACCGTTTTAATTTTACCGATGTGTAATATGTTTACCCAAACTGAAACACAGTTCTCAGCTGTAATGTATACTAAGTTCAGAGCAGAGGTACGTAAAATTTCAATGTTAGCTCCCCATGCATGTTGTCCCAGCCAGTTAATATAATGTTTTATTTCTGGCCTCTGTCTTTTGCGGCAACATTTGAGAGATTGTATTTATAGGATAATGTGCAATCTAGAATAACACCTAGGTACTTTGGATGGAAGTTATGGGGAAGAAAAGCTAAGAAAGCTAATACGTAGTGTCGTTTATATACAAACGGTTGGTTGTCTGGCCAGGTTATTGTTTAAATAGAAACAGCACGCTTCGGTTTTGGCAATGTTGGAAGTTAGTCTATATTGCCTGAAATTTTTGTTTAAACTTTCTAAATCGGTCGATAGGGTTCGTTCCAAGGAGCACATTTTAACATGTTGTGTAGCTAGGACCAGGTCGTCTTTATATGTGAATTTTCTGGACACTGTTTCCGGTAGGTCAATCGGTATTTAATGGTTAAATTTAACGCCGAACAAAAACACGTTAAAATGCATAATTTCGTTAAGTAACGATATAGACTTTGCCATGAACGACTGTATAGCTTAATTATTTGGATTTAAAAATGAAATATTAAAATTGGATACTGCATTTTCCATCATCAATCCGGTCAGCATAACGAAAGTTCTAAGTTGTAGAATGTAAATATACAATTGTTATAATAACTTATCAAGTGATAACGATCAACAAGTTAGCTACGTTCCTACTTCGTTAGCTGACGGAGGCAACAGTTAGATGCAGTCTCCACTGAGAAGAGCGCATGCGCATATTCGTATTTTGTATGTACACTTGTGTGTGTAAATTGGAAAATTAAAAAGGAAGAAATGTTTAGAAGAACAATAGGTAAAGAAAGTCTCTATATATTATCTAGGTAGGTTGAAAGTTGTAGGTGGAATATACAATGTATAAAAATAATCATATCAGACATCACAATTTGCTTGTTGTGTTGAAACTTATTTTCATTGAAACCATACTTTCTATAGATCATACTTATTCGGTCTATTATAACTGTTATGAACCCCTGGTATATTAGGTTTAAGGATCAATGGTTAATATTATGAATATTGTGTAAATGGTAGTTTATATATACATATTGTACTGGCAAAAATGAATGCGCTGAGTTAACCCTTTTTGCCTATCCAGCGGTTCGTACGACGTCGAAGAACGACGTACGACAGCAGTCGGGATATAACAGAGCATTTGGCTGAACCTCCGTAAATCTATTTTTTTCTATTTGTAATAACAGTTGATTTCTTAAATTTCAAATATAGGAGTAATATAATTCAATAATTCGTAAGTTTTCACTTAATTTATTTATTTGTTGTCGACTATCAAACCAGTCCATAAAATTTTTGGATCGGAGTATTCTGGTACCTATGTGAACGGCATCCGCCAAATCCTTAACGGGCAAAGCACGAGCTGCAGTAATATTCTGGAACATTAATACGTGGATCAAGCTGAAAAGCACTTTGAAAAATACATTAGAACCAAAATAGACCACGACACATTTATATCTCGAACTGTATTTCAGTAAACAGCGAACTAATAAGGATGTAGCAATATATTCTGCAAGAATAGAAACTTTACAGATCCTCATACTGGAGTAGGAAACTAGTGAAAAATCGATAGAGGCAACTGCAGCACTTGAAGGAAGTCTAAAGGCACAGACAATTCAGGTCTTGGAAGTCTCAAGGACTTTATAAAAGCTCGTAATCCTTCTACTTTAGATAAAGCTATACAAACGAAGAGGTATGGGTCAGAAAATCATTAGAAGAATCGAAAAGTTTTTATGAAAATCCGCACAAACAGAACATCAGCAGAAACTCTACAAAAAAACCCATAGCACCGTGATTCCATTGTAAGAAAATGGGAAATTGGGCGAGGGATTGCCGATAGCCTAAATAGATAAAAACAAACAGCGGAACCTCAGTTACTCATAATCCACGAGTCGCAGTTAATATTATTACTTGCAATTATTGCAAGAAACCGGGACACAGAAAAGACGAATGTAGGAAGTTAAAGTATGTGAATTCAAAAAAGAAAACAGAAAATTTGGACGGAACTTCAAGAGAGCCGAGAAACCAATCACAGACGGATCGAAACGGCGAGCGCCTGGCTGGAAGTATCAAAACCGCCGCAATTTCGTTCAAGGAGTGATCCTAAATACGATAGTTTTACAGAAACTCAAGAATGATCAAGTCACTTGCCGGAGTCCTCAGACCATTAACAATACTATTCAATTTTTATTAGACTCTAGAAGTGACCTGAATCTCATCAAACTCTCCGCACTCAAGTACGACGTATTGGTTTATGGCAAAATTATTTACCAGTTAAAGAGAATAACTGACCAGTGCGTACAAACTCTAGGGTCCGCTAAAATTGAAGTTGAAATTGGAAACGACAGTCGGACTACAGAATTTCATAATGTACATACCTCTTTCCTAATACCCCACGAAGGAATATTAGGCAAACCGTTCAATCCATAGTATGCAGCATTTGCATCGCCACTGTCAGGGACAAAACGGTCTAAGTAACATTAACTAACCCCACAGAAATGGAATTCCAACTTCAACTCCCAAAATTGAATCAATTAGCCCGTGAGGAGTTTAATGAAGCCTCCATTGGTATCATGGAAATCTCGGACCAACCAGAAAATCAGGCTTATGATAGCAGAATAGCAAAGTTGCAGGGATCTCTTTGAACAGAACATTTGAACCTAGAATAGAAGTTGTCGTTATTTACTATTTGCAACCAGTTCGCGGATTTATTCTTTCTCGAAGGAGACAAAATAACTGCCATTACAGCAGTAGCCCATGAAATCAGGACTTCAGATGCAGTGCGGCCAATCCACGACAAACCATATCGATTACCTGCTCATCATCGACAGGAAATGTCTAACCAAATGGATGTTCTAGAAAGAGACGGTGTAATCGCTCCTAGCGATTCACCGTGGAACGCTCCTCTGCTAGTAGTGCCAAAGAAACCAAATATAAACGGAAAAGTCAAGTACTGGATCTGCGTTGACTTTCGTAGATTGAATCAAGTCACAATAGATGATGCATTTTTCCTACCAAACATCACCGACATTTTAGACCAATTGGGCAAATAAAAATACTACACTACGCTTGATTCGGCCCAGGGATATCATCAGGTTCCGATAAAACAGTTAAACAGGGGAAAGACTGCCTTCTCCACTGACAACGGCCATTACGAATTCTTGCGTATGCCTTTCGTACTTAAAGGAGCACCCGCAACGCCTTATGAATAAGATACTTTCAGGATTAAATGATCTTTTGGTCAATTGTATACGTATGCGTGTTCCCTACAAAGGGAGCGATCTATGCCAAGAAGCATTTGAAACACTAAAAAACTGTTTGATAAACGCACCAATTCTCCAGTATCCAGATTTCACGCAACCTTTCAATCTGACATGCGATGCCAGCAATTACACTCTTGGGTGCGTGCTATCACAAGGTCTGATCGGTTAATATTTACCGATAGCCTAAGCATCCAGAACCTTGGAAAAAGCAGAGATTAACTACAACACAACCAAAAAAGATCTTTTCAGTATAATCTGGGGAACTGAAATCTTTTGATCGTACCTTTTCGGTCAGCAATTTAATATAGTCACAGACCATCGTGCATTTTTATAGCTATTTAATCTGAAAGACCCCGTCTCCAGGCTTACTTATCGGCGTCTCAAATTGGAAGAATACCAATACACTATACATTATAAGTCTGGAACTAGTAACACGAACGCGTATGCTTTAAGCAAAAGCCATCGATTTGTAATTAGATCGCAACAATCCATAAATCAGTATGAATTATCAGAATCTATAGAATTATCTCCAACATCCGCAGAAAATACAGAGCACTCGGAACTTTCAGACCAATCAGAACAACTAACACCGGAAGATGAGTTTACCAAAGTTTTCTAAATTCTGACTGTAGACCTACACTAAATGTAGTCGAATTAACTGGCATCTTAATCGATACAGAACCTACTTTGTCATTAGCGCATTGTGTTTCGAAAAAATTTAAAATGTCTAAGGGAATCGCTCTTCAAATGTGACGGAAATTTGGAAACGTGAAGGAATTATTACAGCAGAAAGCATCAGTAACAGAAGTAGCCTATGTAAAGTATGAACAGAGAATCATATTCTATTTAGTGACGAAATAATATTATTGGCAACAACCAACGTACGAATCAATCTATGTGAGTTTACAGAACCTCAAAAGTTATGTATAGAGTTAAAAATAACCAGTCTGGCATGTCCTAGAGTTGGATGTGGGTTAGATGGTTTACAGTGAGAAATTGTAAGTAACATGATCAGGCAAATTTTCAGAAACTCGGAGATCCACATTTATGTATATATAATAGAACAAAAAATCCAGTTAATTAAGGAAATCCATTGAAAGGCATTTAGGAATAACGGAAACATTTAATAAAATCTACACTGAACATCATTGGAAAAGTATGCGAAAGCAAATCAAGCAATATGTTAAAAAGTATCCCATGTGTCAAAGGAACAAAATAGCAACAAGGCGCCTAAGGAGTCGATAGTTATTTTCACCAGAGCAACTAGAGCATTCGAAAAAATATTCCTCGATGTTATGGGGCCTTTTCTTCATTCTAACTTTACAAGATGATTTGACTAAATTCGCATGGGTTGTCCCCATGGTAAATCATGAAGACACTGTAGCACATCATTTTGTAACTCAATTTGTGTGTTTACATTGTCTCTTCCAAGGTCTTGTAACCAATTATGTTACTGAATTTCTTAGTAACATATTCAAAGATGTGTGTAATCTGCTGAAAACTCGTCAGATGTCAACCACACCCTATCACCCACAGAGTAACGGTAGCCTTGAAAGGAGCCACCGTACTCTATCAGTGTATTTAAGGAACTTCATTGAAAAATATCCACAAAATTGGGATACTCTGTTACCATACCCAATGTTTTGCCATAATTCCACAATTCATTCAGCTACAAAGTTTCAGTAATACCACTTAGTCTATGAACACCCAGTTGCCATTCCCACTTATTTGACAAATGACCCAGAACCTCAATATAATTATAATGATTATCAGTATGATATAAAGAAACAGATGCAAGAATCTCAGGAATTAGCAAGAAAAAATTTGTTAGCATAGAAGATAAAGTTTTGATGTTAGACAAGACATCTAAGAACAAATTAGCACAGAAATGGTTTGGGCCATTCAAAATTGTAGACATATATCCTATACGGAAAAACTTTTTTGTAAAGAAAGGAGGGAAAAGACAGACTACTCATCAAAACCTATTAAAACCATTTTTACAACAACCATAGCGAATCTATATTTCAGAAGAACCTTTTGCCAGTGTTGATAACCATACAGAGCATTGGAGTACAGATCTTTAAAATTGAGAATTTTAGCAGTCATTAAGGACTGTACTATCAGAATAAAGGCCAGGTCAGATTATCCAACATTAATTGGAATTTGGTAGCATATTTAGACCTTCAAATACAAACCATGGAACATAAATAGCTTATGGATCAATACCACGCGACATTACAAATTCGCAATAATACAGACCACTCATTAGAACTTTCGAGCGTGTGTAAGATATTTATACCACAGTTCAATCGGGTAACCTTACCTTACCTTTTCGAAATCGAGTCCAATTATCGCAGTTTAATGTCAGCAATTAGCTATTAGCCAAATGATCGGAAGCAACGTGGGCTGTCACATGCTACCAAACGTATGACCAACATTTTGTACGGATCATGCTCAAAACTCGACGTCAGTTTCATAGTGGACAAAATCATAGAGCTAGGACAAAGAAAACTAGAAGGTTTAAATTTAGTGTCAGAACATACGAGAATCACAAAAGTGCAGTTCACAGAGAGAAATTTTGCCGTAAAATAAATAGCTGAACGTCAAAACAAACTTAAGGAAAACCTCAAATATCTCCAATACCAAATAGCTGGAGAGGCCCAGAACATCGACAAAGTGACATTTAGGACGAAATTAAAGGATTTTTGTTTGAAATGTTGCTCAACAAATACGCATTCGAAACTCAGAACCTGATGTGAATCTATTGTGAATGCAGCGTTAGACGGTAAAATCCACACTAGCGTACTCTTGACAGAAAATTTGATATCAGAATTAAGGGAAATCAAAATTACTATACCAATAAAATACATTTTACCAAAAGAAATTAACACAGAATCTCTAGCAGTGTTTCTCAGAATCTCGGAAATATCTATTTTCAAATCTGACAATCATTTAGTTTTCGTAATTAGTATTCCTTTAGTCACTAGTGAGGAATACACTGTTTATCACCCAATTCCAATACCGATCAAGTATGGTGTGAACGCATTCGTACTGATATCGCCAGAAATGGAACACTTAGCTGTAATCTGAAATAGAGAAATTACGAAAGATCAATGCGAGGTATGCACCGCCATGAAGCAAGGCAGGCTTTGTAAAGAGAACCATACTATTTATCATCAAATAGGATCCAATGTGTATCGATTACCACAAATTAGTGACTGTATTCAACCCTGGTTGATGCAGGAAATGTAATCTGTTCAAATCTTTCAGAAAATTTGAGGTTTGAAGTATCAGGGACCTGTAGGTTAACAATACCTTCAACATGTGAAATTCATGTTGATAACATTATCTTCACCGCGATACACAGAAATGTACAGAACATTCAGTTAGATCTAATACCGGAGGATTTAAAAAACGAAACATCCAAGTGGTTAACAGAAACTTTTAGAAACGTCATTTTCCAAAACCTCACTTACCTGAAATCCATTAAGAATCTTAACGATTTAGTATTCAGTGCTGTCCCAGTAGATAGTGTCTCGTCCGTAAAGAACGTAAATCAAGACGATTTTATAATTTGCATTGTTTTAATTACATTGGTAATGTCATTCAGATTAACTATAACCATATTATTATGACTTCTAATAATATATGTAATATTGTAATTTGTGAAATGTTTGATTAACATTGTAATTTGTGTTCAAAGTTTTATAATTACTATTTTTTTATATGTATTCAAATTTTTAGTTTTTTTTATTCTAAATGAAACACGGTGATCATATAAACCCCTTATCTCATTTAGTGTGGGGGGTGTTATGAACCCCGGTATTTCAGTTATGTTTAAGGACCAATGGTTAGTATTAAGAATATTGTGTAAATGGTAGTTTATATATATATTGTATTAGTAAAAAAGAATGTGCTGAGTTAATCCTTTTTACCTATCCGGCGGTTCGTACGACGTCAAGAAACTACGCACAACGGCATTCGGGATATAGCAGAGCATTCGGCCGAACCTCCGTAAATCTATTTTTTTTCTATTTGTAATAACGGTTGATTTCTCTGATTTAAAATATAGTAGTAATATTATTCAATAATTCGTGAGTATTCATTTAATTTATTTATTTGTTGTCGACTGTCAAATCAGTCCATAACATGACTTAAATATAATACTTTAAATTAATGTATATTTACTTTACAGACAAATATTAATTATTATACAATAATTAAAAATACTCTATGCATGATTAAACTGCTACGAAATTGCCCCATTTGTAGTGAAGTAATCAAAAAAATCTTCTCTTATTTTTTTAGCTAATTATTTAGATCTGCGTGGAACATTTTTAACGGGATGTAAAGAGATGTAGTAGAGGTTTTCTTAACACTGAAAATATGGCGGACATTATCCCAAATAGGTTTTCCACTACTTTAAGCCTCTTCCCTTAAGAATATAAAAGATATATTTTTGTTTTTCCTGGCAGGTTGGAATGTGCAGCTAAATTCTAGTTATTTTTTTTTTGTTTTTTGAATAAATCACTATTATGCAAAATTAAAGTACAATGTATTTTCCATCCATAGCAGTGTTATGGACTCTGTCCTTCACGTGTTTCAATTTATTAATTATAAATTAATAATTCCACGCGAAAAGATATGAAATCGGTCGTCGCATTAAGTGTATGCACGTCAGGGCCATTAATACGGGTGTGGTAAACCGACGACCGTAAATCATATAACAACGGATGATACGTGTTTATGGGCCAAAGGGAAAACGTGTCCGGGTACGGATGACGTGCCACCAGTAGACAATGGTGGCAGCATTTACCATCACCTAGGCCCCGATCGAGGCGACAAACATATATAAGGAGACCGGGATGATCAACGTTTATTGTTCTATAGTAAAAATAACCGGATCGAGTGATCTGACACCAAGGGTGAGAGTTGAGAAAAGGAAAAGAAACAATAAAATAAAAATACGCAATACGTTTGCGGTTGTGATGATACCTGTAGTTTATCACGTGTACGGGATCGCTCGAGACTCGCGTCGTATAACGATGAAAAACGCACACTGACTTACCGCCGACCTATGCTGCCACTACGTGACCAGTTGCGCTACCCTTTTACCTGGAGACGTAAGCGTCGGGATGCTGGGCATAACAAACGCGTTACTACAATACCCGACTTGGTGGCTAATAAGAAAACTAACCGCGGGCTGCGGCAGCGCTCGTAATATGTACTTGCGGCTGTCGTACCCGTGTCATGCTCCCCCTCCAAGCTACCAGTCGGGTAATATCTACTGAAATGCCCATCAGCGAGTCCGTAGGGCCACTGGCGGCTGGCTCGTGCACACCTTCAGACTAAGGGTGTGTTTGTTTTGTTCCGGGTTACCTACTGATGTAGAGGTGACAACTACGGGAAGTCGAAAGTTCCTAGGGGCTCTCTGATCACCCCCAGCACACGATCAAGCCCCGATGGCGCAAAAATCACGTCGTCATTCATGTCCGGTGGGGACTGAGTACGCGTGCTCGTTTCCATCACAATGACGAACGGCTCTAGAGGAGCTCGACTCTCAGCGTCTTGTACGAGTTGGGCTGATGCCCCTCGCTCAGACTCTGGTAGGTCTACCATCATATTCTCAGCTTTGTGGCCAATCAGTAGGCAGGTCAAACTGATTGTCCGCAGTACTGTTAACTTTCGACGGCCGCCCTTGCTGCCACCTTTGCCTTGAGCTTGGTGAATTTGACCTTTGTCTTTGCCCGCTGTCACCGTACTGCCTCCTCTTCTGCGTGTAACAGCTTGTTCGGCTCCTAACGGCTGACAACAACTGGAAGTTGCCTGTTCCTAATTGAAAACAATTTGGAAGGCAGTTTGGAGTCCCACGAACTATGTTTACCATCCACTAGCTTAACTCTCAGTCTTTTTTTTAGTTCTTGGTTCCAGCGCTCGATTAGATTCACCCGAGGATAATAAACCGAGGTCTTTCACCCTTTAATTCCCCAACGGTTAAACATTTGAACATTTTAAATAACAAAATTCTAAAACAAAAAAAAAAACGCGAAAAGTTACAAAATTGAATTAATAAATATAATAGTGATCAAACTTCAATTAATGACTATGTATCAACAATATGTTATTATTTGCCCTAAATCCTTATATTGTATACTTTTTACTATTATATATTTTTTTTAATTTTAAATTTTGTTTTATTAATTATTCATATTATATGGCTGTAACGAATTAAATATAAATTAAAGATTGTTATTTGAAATAATTAATTTTGTAATATTGTTTAGTTCTGCAAAAATATAGCTATTCATTTTTAAAATTTTACCTGGGAACAGTTTACATGTCACCTTTGTATACTTCATAAAAACTCGGGCGCAGTTAACATATCATCTTTTTACACTTGATAAGAACTCGGGCGCAGTTTACATGTGTGATTTTATGTTTACCTGTACCTTGAGCACAGTTTACAATCGCCACTTTGGAAACACCGCCCTCCCATCAGTTTGATTACCTGATGGGTTCGCGGTCGAAAGTAACGACCCGAAGAAGCTGATGAGTTCTTTCATTAATTAATATTTGATATCTTTATTTTATTCCTATAATATTTTAAGTGTATTTTTTATGTTTTATTATAAGACTTAATTAAAAATCAAGGCTGAAATATTCTGTTATTCTATATATTAGATTCTGAGTGGATCAAAGAAACTTATGATTTTACAAAGATGTTTATATTTTTTTCTGTGCATAACCTAACTACCAGAGAATTTGCTCTAAATTTTACGTGTAGCATCTTTTCTGAAAAATAATTGGCGTGAGAAAGTACTTTAAAGAGGTCATATTTCGATTTTCCTAAGAGTTTTCCCAGCAAATATGAAAAATCGGGATACAACTTGGGAAAATCGGCGCAACATTAAAAATAACTTTGACTAAAGAAAATTATATAAAGCTTATTTAATTATTTAACTATAAAATGACATATATATATATTGATGATAAAGTATCACTATCAACTGAACTCCGCTCAGAATCGTTTTTTTCGTAAAAAATGGTTTATTGTTTCTATTAGGTATACATTAAATTATTTATAACAGTGGCTGCACCCGTCTCCATGATCCTAGGATGTCTTTTTTTAAATTTTATAATACCATTGTAAGTGTCATTTATTTTATACATTTTATTAATTAGAGTTGTTAATATTTATATTTTTTGTTTTATCTTTGTAATAAATAAAATATTATTTTATGATGTTTTTATCTTAATATTTAGTCCTTCAATACGTACTTTGCAAATTTCCAGGATAATTAGCGATATGATTTATTTGGACATTTAAAGAAGGTATTCCAAACTTGCGTACAATCATCTGTTGCAAGAAAGCGTAATTTGACAGCTAATCTTCCTTTAACCGGAATCGCTCTACAAAAACATTATTTTTTATTTATGGTCACCCCAAATTTATAAAAAACTTAGTCTCCTAATAAAAACGTTAAAGTTTTTAAAACCTTTTTAAAAAAGTTGTTATTAAGTGAAGTTAATGTTAGTTAAATGTTCAAATAATATTTTAAAAACGTTAATGGCTACTTTTCTTTAATAATAAAACGTGTATTAATATATTTAAAACAATAATTAACATTTTTATATAATTAGTATTAGTTTTCCATACAGTTTTATTAATTAATTTATATTGTTTCAAATATATCTAAAGTAATGCAATTTCTTTCTGCTAAATATAATTCAGTACTTTTATCATATTTATTTATTTTATTATCTTAAAATAATAGGTACCTATTTTGCAAAGTATACTGGTAGTTTTAATAATACATATGTACCTGTATATATATATTTACTTAATTTTAGACCTCTTTAGGTGACATTTAATATTGATTGTTCCTATAGCAACCACAAATGTTTACTCTATATAATAAATTAATATATATCAATAAAATAGTATGCAAATTAAAACGTACTTATTTCATATTGCTTTTCCTCGCATTATACACCACCTTATAAAAATAATTAATATATAAATACATTAGACTTTCTACAATGTGGTCGGCAGTCATAATTTTGGCAGCATTATGCTTGGCCGTCGGATGGCTGATGGTGAAAAAGGACCGGTTGACCAAAGGCCTTACTGAGCCTACCATCCGAAAAGTGGACTTTAACAATTTATCACTTTTGCAAAGGATCAACATTCTTACGAACAAGACGGCGGAACTCCAAAAAAGCGATCTAAGCCCATGCAAGGATAAATTAAAACTACTAATGAACCGCATGAAAAAATTCGAAGTAAATTGCCACAGCAGACCCGATCTATGTATGAAAGACTATAGGATGCAGTGTATGAAAACAATTTTGTGGTACGACGAAACGGACGAGTATAAAAAAAGGTACATTTAAATTTGGGTCTTGCTTACAATATCGATTATGTTTATGTTAGCTTATACACCTGTTATTTTGTACACTCTCATCGAAACCAGGATAATCTAGTAGTTTATGGTTATTTTTTTTTTTTTGTACTATATAGATGTCCTCTACCAGAGTTTAAGCGAGCTTTAACAACCCAAATTATAAAAGACTTGAAGGAGACTGCCGTACTACATTCGAAACCCATTGATCTGAGTAAGGACGTACCGAACGAACTGTTGCGGAAACCCGCAGCCACCGGAGATGACTTGCCGCCTTTCTATCCGTCAGTAGTCTGGGACGCTATTTGGACGCTGACAAGTTGGTTGGACGATGTATGTGATCTATTAGCCTGGACTTCGGCTTATATACCGTCAGTGAATTACGACCGTCTCAAATCGGCCTTCAAGTTCGCCTGGCGTGTCATCGTGGTTACTGCTTTGATCGATTTTGACACCGATACCACAACAATCATAATCGACTTCATGGTACCGATGTATGATGCAGAAGGACTACCAGACGCCGTGGCCACCGGACATCCAAGGAGGTTAATGTTTCTTTGCTGTACTCCAGTTCAATACGCCAAGTTGGCAAATAGTCATACGAATGTTCTGGTCCGAAACAATGTTCCTTAAACTGACTAGTGAAAAATAAAGATAAAATTAACTGGACGACCAGTTTCAGAATTTTTATGAAAACCCTTAATAAGATATAAATAAAATAAACTGCGGGTGGAGGCACGTGTACCTCTCTTGAAACGTCAATCTGGATATAATGTGTTCTTTTTTAAGAAAAGAAGTTTTATTTCAAATATAATAGTGCAAGAAATATTAGGTTTAATTGTACGGTAAGTATAGTTATTGGAGTCTAAGGTAAAACTAACCCGAATCGGGTAGTTGGTGGTCTTGAATGATAAGGGTGGAAAGCGGGGAACCGAATTACAAATAATACGAACGACAAATGTTGATAACGAGTAGTATGTATGTGTTATACACGAAAAAAGGACGAATATATTTGGAACGTGGGTGCAACTCCTAAACGATAAATCATTGATAACAAAAAAATGATTCTAAGCGGAGTTCAGTTAATAGTGTTAATTTGTCAGCAACATATACATAATACATATTATGGTAAAAACTATTAAAACAATGTGGGTGTCTATGACAACTATGATTGTTTAAAAAAGATTAAAATAATAAAAACTTAATATTAATAAAAAATAAATAAAAACGGTTACCAATGACAATCTTATTTTTAATCTTTCAATCTTTTTTATCCTAAAGACCGAGATTCTGAGGTCCTGATGGTTTATCTTCAATANGGCGGTAGACCCTCTACAAATGTGGTTAAAATAGTCTCTTTTATATATTCGTGGACTGCTTTGGCGTCTGCGGGAGACCTTTTAGCAGTACTAACATTGCATAGTTCGTGTAAGAGTACCTCAACTCTTGCAGAGTATTCTTGAATTGTTTCCCCAATTTTGTGTTTCGTTGTAGTTAATTCCAATTGTAGATATCCTGGAATCCTTTTTGCACAAAATGTCACTTCCAATAGGCCTTTCAATGCTTCCCATGACTTCACCTCTCGGTGTTTCGGTGTTGTGTCACTGCGAACGCTTTCCCTGCCAATTTAGTTAAGATTGCTTGAAGGAGAATAGGACGACAATCGTCACTAATTGTTTTCGTTACAAAGTCACACGTGTTTAAAAATGGATTAAACACAGATGTAATATCACTCGTTTCTTCCGTACTTGAATACGGCATTCTCGAAAAACGATGAAATTAGAATATCTATTCAAAATATAGACTCGTACACTCTTCCGTGTTAGAGTTACTTGTTTATTGAGGTAAAAGTTAACAAATAAGACAGCACGGTAGGAGATATACATTTTACAAACAACGAATTGGCTTTTCTATTCTCCGAAATACGATACGAAGTGAATGGTGTGGAAATCCAAAAGTTGAAATCACCGGGCATATCTTAAACTTTAAAAGGATACTGCTTTCATACACCTCACGATTTGTATGAACTCGAATAAAACAAATTTCATGGAAAAAGAGAAATTTTCCGGTTGCATCCCCCTCAAACATTTATTCAGATTTTGTGAAGATTGTAAAAAAATATTACTCAATTACAATCAACAAATAATTTTAAATCGGTCGTCGACTGATTTCAACGCTCTGCGCTCTACCGGAGCGAACGCAGAAAAATCCATTGAAATAAATAAAAAAATAAATATCGAAGTGATCAAAGTTCTTTGGAAAATGCCAGTTATTCGGGTAAACGATTCAGAAAAATTAAAACTTTTAAGAGTATTGGATTCTCGTAAACCACTCGCGTGCGCGTTTAGAACCTGGGACTTGTGTGAATATCCCGTTCTCCCGACAAACACTTCTCATTCGTGAACGGTTAAATCTAGCAGTCTATTAGAGAAACCGAGGTTTGTTATAATTGGATTTCAAACCGATAGAAAGAATAACTTGATAAACCCGTCGGGTTGGTTCGACTATTGTAACCTCAAAAACCTTGAGGTATACTTAAACAACGAAGTATATCCCTACGAGGATTTTTACGCAAACTTTTGCAATAACAAAACCGGCTACATTGTGTAAGGCGCATACAGATTTTCAAAAATCGTATTATGGTAGAGTGTCCAGTGCTCCATTATTAACGAGAAAAAATTTTACTGCAAACACGCCGATCGTAGTTGTGGATTTATCGAGACAGAACGACAACATCAGAACATCGTCCGTGGGGACTTGCGTATCGTATTTGAAACAGATGAAGCGGTTCCGAGAAAAACTTTTTTTTTTTTTAAGTAAATATCTGTGTTTTTATTTAATACTACTACAGTACATGTTATATACAATTTTATATTAAAAATAAAATACATACATTATTATAAAGAAAATTTTCTCTTGAGATCCCATCCCATTTCTGAAACTGTGGAATGAAGAATTGGCTTCATTCAACTCTTCCTTCAGTACCAGTGGTTATGTAATATATTGCGGACCGTACGGCCCGTCATTGTGGTCGAATCCTCTTACGGCATAAGTTGGTGGCATCAAATAACTAGGTGACATCGGGGAATAGTTCGGTTACGGTGGTATAATCGTAACATTACCCGAGCTTTGCACATTCATCCAGCACTCTACTAGTTGTGGAGTTGCATACGTACATCCTTATTTGACTGACATAACTAACGTCATGTTTCAGCAAGGAGGAGACGATTTTTTCATCTTGAAGACTTTTTATAAACATTTGTATTCCGTTCATATCTGCTGGTGGTGTTGTCATTTTAGTGATTTCTGCATCTATATAACGAAAAATCTGATTGAATTGTTTTAATACTGATTAATACCATCCACCTAAAAGTACATTAACGAGGTAAAATGTAAACAAATATGGGTGGGGGGGCTAAGAGACCAACTCATACAGGATCGTACAGGACCTTACAGACAAGAAACACAATACGCGCTGCTGTCGATGTATATATATATATATATATATATATATGTATACATTCTTTTCGTTCTCGGAGAGGGATCAGCTATATGTATATTACAATCGGGGGAGGGGGGGAAGATATGTGAAAGAATTTGTCCACGTTCGAACAAGAAAACCGAGAACAATAAATTTTCTCATGCAGGTCCTTACAGACAAGAAACACATAATGTATGTGCTGTCGTTATATATATTTTGTCGTTCTAGATTCTCGGAACGGACTCGCGGTACGCCGCGTAATATAGTTGAAATTGTATTTATATAATATATGTATGTGAAAGATATGGTACGAATCTTTGTACACGCTTGCCTCACACGAATGTTGTTATTTACGAATAAAAAAAATTTTGCCATGTCTAACGAGTATAATAATATTTATAAGATCGTTATAGGGATCGCCAACGATTATATTTCGTATAAGTATACGAATTTAAAAAATGTCATATTATGCAGGAAGGAGGCGACGGTGGTTACGACGACGGTTATAATCCGTATAGGTAACAAATTGCGTACGAGAAATATTATTTTGTAAAATTATAATAATAGATGGTGTGAGTGTGTGTGTGTGTGTGTGTGTGTGTGTGTGTGTGTGTGTGTATAAAGATTTTAATGATAAAACAACATTATGTAGTCTTTATTTTACTTTAGTTCGCTCTAATCTGGAATATGCGACCATCATATGGGAAACCAATAAAACAGGTTTATCTAATAGTTTAGAGGGAATATAAAATAATTTCCTAAGATTTACTTCTTATAGCTGCCAAATCAACAGATTAAGACACTCAGGTTATGATGAAATTCTAAATTTCCTAAATATGATCACTTTAAAAAAAAGAAGAAAACAGAGTATCTTGATATTTTTATTTAAATTACTCAATAATATAGTCACATGCCCAGAGTTGTTGGGTGATATAAATTTTAAAATAAATTTTAGGCATACAAGAAATAAAAATCTATTCTACATACACCAAACTTCTAATAATTATATGCAACTCTTGCCCGAAAATCTATTAATGTCACATGGAAATTCCGTAAATGTACTTTTTTAATAACAGCATCCAATCTTTTAAAAAATTAATACGTTTAATAATTTAATTATATGTCATTGTTTTATATTTTTCTTTATATATTCTTTTACTGTGAGTATTTTTACCTTCTTTTTACTTTCCAATAGGCTAATTTATGTAATTTATGTAATATTTGTTATATTGATCAACAATTTTTATTATATTAATTAATTATTTCTTTTTAAATTCATATCTTATATTGATTACATATTTACCACTTCTACTTATTTTTAGCTGTAATTAATCTTAATGTTGTATTGTACATTTGTAACTCTTTCAATCTACGTATTATTATTGTAATTGGAATATTATTCCGTATATATATAAATAAATNGTTATATTAATTAATTATTTCTTTATAAATTCATATCTTATATTGATTACGTATTTACCAATTCTACTTATTTTTAGCTGTAATTAATCTTAATGTTGTATTGTACATTTGTAACTCTTTCAATCTACATATTATTATTGTAATTGGAATATTATTCCGTATATATATAAATAAATAAATAAATAATGTAACACAGACGGGGAAGATATAGGTATATAAAAAAATCTTATATCCATGTGACAAAATATATATTCCGTATAGGTATAAGAGTCGGCACAACCGTGATAATATAACCTTGATAATGATAAGAGTAACCATAAAGGTATAACGATAAGTATAACTTGTGATAACGGGGATTTCGGTAAATATGCCAGTCACGGGTCGCCGGCATTAGGTATAGATACCGAGTTAGATAACCGCGGATAAGGATATTTATCGGTAATAATAGTGTGGTAATAATGTCGAAAGTGAGCGTGAATGAGGTGGTGGACAATTCGGGAGGTCATGTATTAGGTATAGCACTTGATCCTTGCTCCTTGATCACTTGCTCCTGCTTCTGGGGTAGAACTCTCTATTTTATACTACTGGCTGTCCATTTTTTTCGAATAACATAAACCATGGTCGTAAACGTTTAACATTTCATTTTTTAAATTGGAAGCTTTTGATTGATCATAATTATTTTTAAACATTTCTTTTTCTTTTAACAATAAAAATTTCTGTTGTTTTCGTTCACGTAAGCATTGTCCACCAACAACAAAATTCACGATCTCTTAAATCAAATTATTTTCTTTTTCCATTATCTCAATTTTTGAATGGTATTTTATTACCTTAATTAATAAATAAATAAAAAATTACTTTCTTTCAATTTAATGGTTTTGTTACATGTTGCTGGAGACGATAAAAACATTATTTGTCTCTCATTTATCTACACCATCGAAATTGGTGTTACAATAAATTATCTCCATAAAAAGCAATTTGGAAAGTATACTTTTTTTTATTTATTAATATAATTGTGTCAATACACTAAGTATTTTTACAATGTTTTTATAAATTATGTTTTAATGATTTTTATAATTGTTTAAAAAATAAAAATCCAAAATATGTAAAACAGAACACTTTTTTAACAGATAAACATGAAATATATACCATTGAACAAAACAATAAAGCTCTTAGTGCATATGATGATAAAGGATATATTCTAGAAAATGGTATAATTACTTTAGTTTGGTCATTCTTCAACAAAAGTAGAAAGAGGAAATTTCAGAGAATACCTTTATAATTTAATAAAAACAAATAATAAAAAAGAAAATAATTTTTGAGAAATAATAGGTATATATAATTTGACCTAATTAATCATTATCAATTTGTATGTAAAGTTTATCTATTGCATGTGCGATGCCTAATATATTATATTATTTATTTTTATAAAATAAAACTATTCCTAGTGCAAAGTTTATGTGAAAATAGTTTTTAAATATTATTTAACTTTAAAAATAATAAATGCATATTTCTCTTGTTTTGATATAACATTTTGGACTTTTTAAAACATTTAATTTTTTTTTATTTATTTTTTAATTTATGTATGTGAACAAAGAACAGGAAAGAAAATAATGAGAACAGAGATCAGAAATTAGTTTTTAAAGTGAAAAATATTTGGCTGTCTCAGAATAAACATTATTATACTACTGGAGAGCAATGACTTTTACCAACAAATTGTAACTGAAAAACTGTAAATTTATTTGCCATGATTTTAATTATTATTATTATTATTTTAATTATAAATTAATTATTTTAATTTAAAATACACTAATAAAACTGATGGTTCATAATAAAAAAAATCACACTGTATACCTAGGTCACCATCAATTGGATAATATAGGTCTGACTAAATATTAAAAGAACCTTTTATTGGTTTAAATTTTTAGTTTAAAGTTATTTTGTCTAAACATATCACTTATATTCAGTGATTTGGTGGCTTGGCTTAATTTGCGATTTTGCTGTTAAACTGAATTTCTGATGCTAATAGCTAATGCTCCAATAACACACACAAAATACCTAATTTCCTGTGGCCATTTAGTCATATTTCTTTTTTCAAGATTAGGTTTGTTATTAGAAAAAATACTAGTCTCTGTAGTCAATAATGGGACACATAGACTATTAATAACAAGTGTTTTGCCATTTCCAGAGGGGCGAATACCTGTTNTAATTATTAAGAACAAGCCACATAGCATAATTTTTTATGACAATAAATGTATATCAATAAAATGCATACAGAAGGGTGGACTGTGTATTATATGTATAATGATTAATGCACACTTAGTACACAACATTCTTTAGGTGTTCAAATACCTACTAAATACCATAATTTGGTCCTTGTTCAAAAATGTTTCTAACAATTTCGATGGATCCTCTAATTGTTGTTCAAAATTTTTATTTGTGTGTTCTAGGTATTTAACAAACTGCTAATTTTCTCATTTTTTGTTTTCCTTTCTCAACACTTCATTTTCCATTTGTAATGACTATAAATAAAAATAAATTAGTGTATGGCATAGTACACCATAATCTTTGTCATTACAAATATATAGTGGTAATTATTTTAGTATAAAGAAATAGTAGTAAGAATTATAATAATAAGAAAACAAAATTAAATTAATTGTTTCATAAATACTTCCAAATCACATAGGTAGTTATTTTAATATTTTATGAACATACTTACAGACTGCATATTTTCATCGGTTGTATTTTCAATTTCATTTGGTCCAACAATCAATGTAGTATCAGGTACCTGAAACATTCAACAATTAATTCAATAAATAATATTTTATTATTGGCAGTTTTTATTAAAAATAATTGTGCTATATTTTTGTATATAATTCAAGTTGATAAAGTCTAATTAAAAATTAATACTTACAGACTACAATTACTGCATACTTTCATTAGTTGTATTTTCAATTTAATTTGGTTTAATATTCAAAGAAAGATCTAGTATCTAAAACATTTAACTATTTAATCAATAAATAATTTAAAATTCTAAGGATATTTAATTAATTTAAATGTACTTACCTACATTTGTTAAAGTTTCAATTATTTGAAACTATTATAATGTTAATAATTTTTTATGTCAATTTACTAAGTTTGTATAAAAATCTACTGTAAGAAACTACGTTTCTATATTTTTGTGTTACTCCAATAGTTTTAGTAAACAGAAATACATATTTAATCACTATTGAATATCAAATGACACTTACTTCACAAAGACAAGCAGATTCTGTAGGTTTCCATTGACCTTGTCTGGTATTATTTATCCAAATTTTTTTTCTTCCAAGTTAAGCAGGAAATCTGAATAAACATATACCTTGACTACTTACAATTATTTACAATTACTTGCAATTTACAGCAGAACAGGACATTTTAATAAAATATTAAAATGTGAAAAACTTAAGAAATTATTTAAATAAAATTAACTGTGTACCTATTGTATTGTTCTATGATATTTTATGTTATCAACTACTGCTATTTGGTAATATATTGCAACTACATTTATCGTAATTTGTAATTACAACTAAAATGGCAGATACGTATACTCACATATTATAGAGCCATAGTACTAGTGGTAACATTGTAATAATAATTTATTCTAAACTTGTCACTAAAGTGCCCACTACACTATACTGCACAATAGCTTGACAGATAATTATAATTTAGCAAGACATTATAATAACGGCCCTAAGTAAAACTTATAATAAATCTTGTGTTAAATGTTCAAGCATTTATGTTCAGCCAAACCATTTTATACCTATCAAATAGAAACAATAAAAAAATGTAATTTTTAAGATTTCCAACTTTGATATTAAACACTAATAAAAATAATATAGAACACACAATTTATTTATGTTTTACTATCAACTACAACTTATAATAAGTTACAATACAATATAAATTAACTTATATTGTGTTCAATTTTCAAATATTTTGCATGGGTCAAACAATTATATTCACATAAAACCGACAAATAATACAAGGAATGCAGAGGAAAATAATTTTTCTCATAGGTACTATTTTATCTTTAAATGTTTATATAAAAGACAAAACAAAATTTCATAAACCAAATTAAAAAAATAAAATGGGTAGAATTAATTATCATTGTAACACCAGTACATTTGTAACTGCACTTAGAATATAAAATAGTTATTTTATTAAGTTAATGAGAATTTCAATAGTAATTACATCAATAATAAAAAATTATTATTATTTACCATAGTAAATTGTTGGGATAGATGGACAACATTTTCGTTTCCCTTATAATTGCTTTTACTTTTTATACTAAAAGGAAACATTAAAAGAACCACAAACGAAAACTAATTGATATAATATTACATTTTATTATAGTCTTATAAATAATAATAAAGTTCAACTACAGTAAATTGTAAAAAATTGTTTAACTCATAGTAAACATCAATTATATAAATTTAAAAATTAGCTTTCAATCAAATAATTGAATTCAGTATAATACACAATAAAATATTATATTAAAAAAATTAAATTTTTATTTTTATCCTCTAAATACAAAAAAAAAAAAATGTATTTAACGACTTTTGAAAATTTTGTAAAAGATATTATTCTAAAAAATCAAATGGATCAAACATTCATAGCCCATGAACAGTTACTTAGTAATAGCCAGTTTAATGTATATAAAAAAAAAATAATATAATGATTAATTATGGGTTACATGATTAATTTTCAGTGAATTTGTTTTTTTAAACCGATGAAACTTGTGGAACTGTTCTTGGTGTGCAGCAATAGCATACACAGCTTTATTTATTGTATTACACCACTTATCTCGCTCATATGCCGTATCAAAAGCTAGTAGTATTGGTTCACATTTACCAAAGTAAATAGGAAAATTATGTCCATCTTCAAATTTATTACCACCATTAAATAGTATTCGCAATGTATTTGGTAAAACAGCTGAATCCGAAAATGGTTGGGCAGGAGGAAGTAATTCTATTCTAAGAGGTTTGGACAGTCCTATTCCTTTTGATAATGGCAAACAACCACTTAGATCAATGATACCTCTTGGCTATAAAAAAAAAAAAAAAAAATTAATCACCAATAATAAACAAACAAAATGTTATTTATTTCAATTTTTAATTCATATTAATATATTCAAATCATATAGAGATTGATGTAGAAGAAATTCAATACTTCACAGAACTTTTTCCAAATATAAATAAGATTCTTCATTTATTTGCTACTCTGCCTGTAACATTCGCTACCCTAGAATGTACATGTTCTGTTTTAAAAAGACTGAAAACATACTTTTGAGCTACAATTAATAAAGAAAGGTTGAATGGTTTGTCATTAGCAATAATAAATAAAGATGAATTTATTAGAACATGGGAACATTAAATGCTTTTATTAAAAAATCGGCATGAAGAATGAAAGTTACAGATTAGACACACCCAATAATATTATATTTTCACCATTGTAAAAACATAAATTTGTTGAAACAAGTAATAAAATAATAATAAAAAAAAATTGTATATTGTAAGTAGGTAAGTAACCTTGATGATATTCATCAATACAATTCATCTAACAAAATCAATTAAAGTATTATAATTTAGATGAATAATAATGTATTTTAAATGTATATAATATTAATTCCAGCAATATGAATTCTATAACTGATATATCTTTAATTAATGATAATTTATATATTTTTAAAACAAATATTAAAAGTATTAATGTTAATTTCAATTGCTTTATTGTGTATTTTTGACTCAATAAAAAACTATTATTACTTATTGAGAAACTTTGCTATTGAACGATTTTGAATTTATATTGATTGTTAAAATTTATAAAACTATATAGTACATATATGTAATCTGCATGCAATAGATTAGACTCATTTCATACAGATATACACTAAATTTCCCTTTATATTCTACTTTCTTAACTTCTCACCTACAACAGTGGCTCACCTATTGTGCAAAGTATGTCAGTCTTTTTTTTCAATTCGTAGCATATTTAGGAATTCTTTATTCAAAACTACGACACCCTCACTTTTATTTAATGTTTCTAACAAGTTTATAGTTTTTTTAACCATTTAATATAAATTTAAAATCATTCAAAAGCAAAGTTCCTTATAAAATACCTTATAGAGGCTGCTGCAATATTTTAATTTACTTTTATCAAATTATTTAAATTAATTTTGTCAAAAAAGGAATCACATGGTATTATTCCAATAGTTATAATTATTATTATTATTTATTAATAAATTATTACTAATAGATCAATATATACAAATATTACTGTATACCTCTTGGTTTTGTTCACTATGCTCATGATACATCCAGTATTTTAAAACCACAGTTTGTGGAAATATTAGTTTTTTTATTAATGAATTATCATTAATAATTGTTTCATCTTCATCATCCTTCTGAGCATTAGGATTATTAATGACTTCGATTTTGAACCATAAACGAGTCCACAAAGCATTGCTGACCATATGGACATTCTTTTTTAAGAAATGCTGCCATTTTGGTGTTTCATTTTGTTCAAATGCAATACTCATTGCAAAGTCATCAAATAATGTTATAAACCCTTTAGTAATATTGCACTCTGGTGGTAAATGCAATGGTTTTATTACCAAATTCTTCTCATAACTGATTGTAGAACAAACGCTACCTTGAATATGTCTGTAAACATACTTCTCACCATCTTCAAGCATCCTCATACAAATACGCACAAATTCTAATTCACCAATTGGTACAGCAAATTTGGAAGCATTTTTATTACTTTTGAACCAGCGAAACTGTATAATGCATAACATCCTTATAAATAATAATAATTATAAAATACCAAACAAGATTAAAAATAACCTTTTTTAGTGGAAACTGCTGCTGATTCACCTCCCTGCTAGAAATCATAAAGTAAGCGAGTTTACGATACATTGTATTCCGTAGTGCTGATGATCCCTCAGGTGAATCTATCTGAGGAACTTTTGAAGAATTCTGCTGTTTTAATTCTTCGTTTGGTGTAAATGAAGACCCCGATTCATTCTGTAACAAATTTAAAATTAAAGACATGAAAACATTTAATACAAATACTAAAACAGCAGTTATTAAAACTTTAAAATTATTTTTAAAAAAAAATATTTAAATTGTTACACACTAATTTAAAACGCATTAACAAATGAGTTTTATACTAACCAATTTACTTGTTTCATGGCATTTCTTATTATTACCAGATCCTGTTGAACAGAGTCCATACAACTCTACTGTTATTCGCCAATCACCATCATCCAAACCATCAATTAAAATAGTGGTGCTTTTAGCATTAGGGCTCTTGTAGCCAAATCTACTACTTGGTTTTCTGATGAAATCAACATATCCATAACCAAGTTCATTATAAGGACAGTGATTGTTTAAAGAGGACCGATAAAGTGACTCCTTCATTGCATCAACATATGGGGTAGCTTTCATCATACATGGTCGGTACACTGTAGCTGATGCTCGAATAACACACACAAAATACCTAATTTCCTGTGGCCATTTANATTAGAAAAAATATTTTCACTAGTCTCTGTAGTCAATAATGGGACACGTAGACTATTAATAACAAGTGTTTTGCCATTTCCAGAGGGGCGAATACCTGTTCGATTACCATGCGATTATATTCATTACGTAGCCTATTTATCTCAAGTACTGCATCTGACCGCTTTAAATCTATAAGTAATTAATATTAAATTAGTAATATTCAAAATTTAAATTTTAGGTATATTATAATTATTAAGAACAAGCCACATAGCATAATTTTTTATGACAATAAATGTATATCAATAAAATGCATACAGAAGGGTGGACTGTGTATTATATGTATAATGATTAATGCACACTTAGTACA